TTTTTGGCAATAATAGCTGCAAAATTCGCCACTGCCACACAATGGATTTTTGTCTTTCATTTAAGTCCTGATATTTTATTGGTTACTTTAAACTAAGCTTGAAATCTGATTGGTTATTTTGTTTTACTGTCCCATTCTCATTGGCTGAGAAAAAGATGCAATTTAGAGCAAAAAACAGTGCGATTTGTGAGTAAATCGCACCGCTGAGAGCCAATCAGATTGCAAGGATAACCAGTGATTTCAAAATGGATTTAATAACTGAATTTATGCCACTCGATTCTCTTAGACTAATCCCAGTTCCCGGCCGAGGGTTTTTCCGGACTTGAATCGGGAAACGAAGTAGTAAATATAATTCACCGCACACGTTCATAACTTGTATTTGCTGTTTATCCCTANGTCGCTTTAAGCTCTGTAGGCGTTCGTCAGGGACTCGCTTTTCACACAATTTAGCTAAAAGACTAGCCATTTTCCCCATGTTGCTGTTTATGTTATCTAGAGATAACGCAAGATCTCGGTAATAATATTGGTTATTTTCGCTGTTTACAATACCTAGCAAACCAAGCTCAGCCAACACTGCGCCCACCTTACATCGAAAATATATCCAGCTTTATGAATCAGAGAGCATAAAGGGGATTTAAATCAGAAACAAAATTATGGCTGCATATGGCATTCAAGTTTCGTTATGGAGAAGTTCACTGGAAATCTGCCTGCAACCCAAGTTTAACCCTCCTAAGAAATGTGGTCGAAAGCTTTTAGTTGAAGATCAACCAGTGATATTGAAGGGAAAGAAACCAGCGTTGAATTAGTCAAAATCCTAGTCCAAGAATCGAGCCCATCAAGAGCCACCGTTTCCTCGTGCCAAGGCCCCACCAATATTATAATATTCTGTCACTATTCACGTCAGTTTCAAAGAATAATTGCAAATTAAAACTAGCAAAGGCTAATAGTTTGTTCATTTTTCAGGTGCAGTCTTTAATCGGGAAACGAAGTAGTAAATATAATTCACCGCACACGATCACAACTTGTATTTGCTGTTTATCCCTGCATGACATTATTACACGTAAACTTATTTAGCAGCGCAGTTGTTGTTTTTCTCTTTTGCCAGACAAGAATAACATAAAGGGGGTTTGGGCGATTTCATATACATGTACCGCAGGAGGAAGTATTATAAAATCGGTATACACTATTATGTGAAAATATCATTGTTC